GCCACCGCGTTTAGCATAGTAATTCCTGCCCATGTTGTGATCATAAAGGGGAAGAAGTTTCGAGGCTTAAAATAAGTTAAGAGCAAATTGTTGGGGACAATGCCTCTATGAAGTGGCAATGAGAGGTCAGTAATTCGGTCCCCAATATTTGGTGCGTTTTGCAGGGCTCCGAGAACTCACATGAGATACGCTGTCGCATAAAGAGTCGTTACGACAGTCAGTTGAGCACCTTTGAAGCCCAAGTCCTCTCGCATTCCAGAAACATATGCTTGGGTTATGCTGGCTCTGTCGAGATAGTTCCTGATGCGAGTCGTATTCGTCAGCACCTCTGTTAGTAACATTGAATGTTGTTGAGCCATTCACTCACATGAAATATGCTGTTCAACGTTAGAAACGGCAATCACACCATAGAGGTTGACGGGCATGAACATACCTAAACAGCAGAAAGTAAGAATGAAGAAATCCAACTTGAGAACAAGTTTCCTCTCCAATGGAGTTGAAGCACCCTTGAAGTGCTTTCTCAATGATGAGAAGAACCCCATTGTAGCTATCGAAGTATCTTGCTTCCGCTGGTAATGCGAGAAGTGAAACAAAGAACTAATAGGCGCTGGGCAAGGGCTGGGATTCATGCGCACTCGACAGCTGATGGGCGCTTATGAGGGAAAGGTTGGAGAGCTCTTCTTATGTCCAAATGCCTTTGGTGCACTGTCATCTAGATGAAGTCGCCGTTATTGGCTTATCTGCTACTCCAAGACGCCTCATCCCTGAATATGGGAAAGCATGCTTGGCTCGGGGATAAGGGGATGGTGCCCCGCCCTCTTGAGAAACTTCCGTTATCCAGGCTCAGCAAAACTTGGGGGTCTTGAGAGATACTACTTACCAAATACCAATCACCCAGAGTGAGTAAGGCAAAGAAGCTTGGAAGTCTTGAAGTATCTCGTCCATAAGGTAGATAGAGAACTAGGCCGCCACACTTTCATTTCGAACATGCGCTAATGCCAAGCTGTCCGACTGTTGTTGCTGACTCTACGATAAGCGGGCTATTTCAATCCCCCAGTGCCATCGTTACGTGCATGTGCGAGGCTGGAAGCCAAGACCGTGTGTTGAGATGGGTGAGTGGATCACCCTCTTGGAGGAGCTCCTCCCGTCGATCTCGACACAATATCGACGCAAGGTGATATCAACATATTTTACACCGCGCTGTGTGTTCCAGATAGGTAGCCCAAAAACACTCAGGGTTATCATTAACTCGGTTATCAGGCTGACAATGAATGAGAGTGTGGTCGATTTCAGTTGAACGCGCCTAATCATCCTTGGTTTCTTTTCTGCCAGTATGATTTATGCTTGCATTCCCCCATGAATGATCTGGAACAGACCAGGAATGCAAAAAGGCTAGAGATGGATGTATTGACGCCATAGGATGTATGAGACTTTCATAGCATTTTGTCTCGAGTCTAATGGCATGGTGAGGGCACTACGTAACTCGGTTTCTTTAGGAATTCAGGAAGCGTTACCTGCGTGTGAACTACAATGGCATAAACCCAACCGAGGGACCTTGTGGTCAACGCTACGCAATCAGTCGTTTTCTGCTGATTCGGCATGATAAATTTATCATCTCCAGCTGTTGTCTGAAATGTCCTGGTTCTAGAGCCTAGCTAGCCTTCAAAGAGGGTACATAAACCTCCCGAGGAACGTTGTCGAATTTGCCCAGACTCTGATGGCCTTCGGGATCAGGATATTCACCAGCGAAGAAGTCGGCGTGTTTTTGAGTATCTCGCGGACGATCAAGATCATACTCATAACGCTTGAACCCATGTTTCCGAGCGTCCAGGAAATCCGCCATACAGAATACCTGCTCATCAATAGGCTTATCGCGACCAAGTCGCTGAAGAAGAGGGGAGCCTTCGATAGGCACGAGTTCTCGCTCGTCAGCCGGACGTGAAAAGTAGATGACTCCAATGCGACGAAGATGGCGTTGATCCTCGGGAGGCTCTGCACATAAAGAGTTAGTAAATGCTTGGGTGACTCATCGATCTCTGCAGCAAGCAATCACGTACGGACAACTCTATGGATAGTGGCCTTAAACAGGCCTCCCGTCAGTCGAGCAAGGGCATCGCCGAAGTTAACGACTAGACCATGAGGCTGGTGCTCGACCCAGCGATACTTCCCATCATTGTGGTCGAGAACTTGAAGTGCCGCTATGGGTTGCGAAAATAGAAAAGTCCATGTCCCCAGATCAGTGTGCCCCGAGAGGAAGATATCGCGGTATTTCTCGCTTTCTTCCTTCGATCGCGGCTCGCACATCATGTATCTGATGTACTCGGTCTTGGAACCCCCGGGTGCATGCGTTGACTGCATTACCTCTTCAGGGACCTCCAAGATGATAGCAACCTGGGTGCCATAAAGATTAGTCTGAGCCATATCCGGGAGCTAAGGGGCGAGCTTACCAAATTCAGAAGTTTTCTGAGGATGTTGGTTCGAATGAATTGCATCACTTCCTGTGTCTCCTGCAAATACGGTCGCATAACCTCAGGATGGGGACGGTCTAGCGGGTCGTGAACCAGAATGTTGTAATGATCCAGCTGTTTAGGAAAGCCTCCCTTACGCCCCAGAGGACCAGCAGGTTTGTACCCAACATATAGTCCCCGTGCATCTTCCTCGGGAGTTACTATCGCGCAGTGTCAATGCTTACACTCTTGTATCTTAGACCGATGAAGTAGCTGTAAATACCTTCATAAGGCGCCTTCTCTTCCGCCGAGAGGGTCATCATGGCGTTTGCTATCTGCATTTGGCGAGCGTAAACTTCATCGGAAATGCCATGATTGCTCAAGGTGAGAAAGCCGTAACCAGTCGCAGCTTCATAGAGATCCTTTGCAAGTTCCTGTCGGCCAATTTGGGTGTCAAAGATGGACAGGTCGAGGTTCACGAGTTTGACATAGTCCACTTTGCATGTTATAGTCAGCTAGTTAAGGTTGATGCATTGATCCGACCTTGGAAGGTAAGACCTACACTTCTCCTCGGTGGGTGGAGCGGGTGTAAATGGAGGAAGGGACATAGTCTCTACACTGGTTGAAACGGATAGCCTCTGATGATAGGGTTTGATACAGCTGAAGGTGTAAAAGAGGACTTTTTCCGTATGTGGCTTTTCGAAAAGTTGATGGCCTTTACTTGAGCAATCGGACTGGATCTTCACTGCCTATTATTATATTGTGAGTCGCATTTCTGTGAAAGGAGTTACCACATAAGCGCACTCTTACTGCATGACCTATCATAGCGACTCTTACCCCCGTCAATGTCCTAAATGCCAGCGCCGAATCGTAGATCGTTAATCTACACGCGTGACTACAGGTGCTCCTTGAGCGTGTTCCTCCTCCGAGTCCTCTCAACATGTCTTCTAGCGAGCCCAATCGCCTCAACCTCTCAATCGTCCTCCACTCAGTCCTCTCAACTCATTCTAGAGGAGCGCACAGCCCGGGTTTGTCATGATTCCCGAGGTTGCATCGTATCTTCGTGGGGTAAAGGAGATGGTGGTGGGTGAGAGGAGCTCCTCCCAAGTGGGGCACCTCTTCCCCAGACATTCGAGTCCGGCATTGACGCTTATCAGGCCGTCACCTGCGACCTTGGTCGGGGCTCCTCCTCGGTGAGCTCCAGCCAGCTCCTTTCTTCTTATCTCATCTGCCTTGAGCAAATCTGAAGCCTTTCAGACTTCGTCATGCTGTATAGATCTTTCAAAACGAGGGATCGGCATTGAGAAGGTTACCATGGTAGATCCTTTAAGTTCAAGACTTGGGACATTTTGTCCGATGCGGCCGCACTGGGCAATGAACAAGCATGCAACTGGGAACGATAAGAATAGTAAACCCACAATTTGCGGAGAAGACGATTGTCCTATCACGTTGACTCTATTATCATGGGATGCCCATCGAGCTTCAGTGCTTGCACGACTGCTGTGAGACATCGTCGACAGTGAATATTGAAGCCTCGTGGAATACATCTTTACTTGGCAATCAAGAATGAATTCAGAAACATATTTACAGTGCCAACCTTGAAACATCATTATCGTCATGACGCCTAGTGTGAAAACGTCTCCCAGATCAATCGACAAGCCATTCCAATGTCCTGCGTGCTCAAGTCGATTCACCCGACAGGTGATTCTCCCGTTGAGCGATAGCCCCCAACACAAAAGATTGACAGTCAGCAGGAGAACTTGAATCGTCATACGGCATCAGGTACTGATTAAATAAAAAACTCTTGATGTCTAGAGACGAGCCAGGCTGACGGACTCAGTACATCAGCGTTCAAATCTGAGGCCATTCCCATGTCTACAGTGTGAAGTCAGCTTCTCCAGAAGGTAAGCACTATTTCTAGAACATCAAACTACTTCGAAATTTTGATAGAGTCTGTGTTGACTTGTGTTAGTGATTTGAGAAAACGCCACGTGAGAAGATACCACGCAAACCCCGATCGCAATGACGAGACAATCCATGTCGCCAGTCATGCTGCGCCAGCCGACGAACCAACAAAAGAGACAAACAGATCAGCGGATGCGAACTGCTTAACTGATCGTTCAAACGGCGAAGGTGTAGGTGCTCCGTTCATCAAACCCGACAGATTTTCAATCTAAATTTTGTCAATGGCTCAGTCAATATCGATTTCACAAATTTCCGCATCACGAGGCATTTCATGGTTATTCAAACTTCCTCAATTTGTATCAGCTTACTTCGATCGTTTTCAGCCCACGTTCCCGCTTCTACACAAGCCAACATTCGACCTTGATACGGCTCAGGAGCCGTTGATACAAGCGATTGTTTGCCTTGGGGCTATTTATCAAGCTCAAGGTTCAGACCAGGAGATAAGCGCTACATTGTTCTCTTCGGGCCTGAAGTCTCTGGATCTATACGTAAGTGAGCATACAAGAATGACTTCGTACAAATGTTGAGCGGTAGAATGACTTATAGGTTCGCGAGAGCCGGCGGGTAAGATTCAGAGAGTTGTGGGTTATGCAAGCCTACCTGCTCTTCGAATACTATGCATTCTACAGCTGCGACGATGGCCGGTTCTCAACGGCTCTCAAGATCCACAGGAAGCTTATTGATGCTGTCCGACAGTACCAGATGCTTCAAGATAGAATAGCTCTGGGCGTAGACGAAATCTCCAGCCCGAACGAACCTTCGGTAGCTTCTTCAATGACCGTGACCGAGCACGCCTGGCGAGTTGCCATGTACAACGAGTCAAGAAAGCGGTATGGCCACCTACCAGCGCGGTACCAGCGCGAAAACCTGGCATCAACTGAAGTAAAACGTTGACATTTGAGGTCTCAAGGTAGTTTACTGTCTATACTACCTTGATGCTCAACTCTCAGTCTGTTGTAACATACGTCCGCTGCTCGCAGCTCTCGAATTGAAATACGAACTTCCGTGTCAAGACGACACATGGCAAGCTGCCACAGCCGAAACCTGGCAAGCCCTCATAGTCTCTCAAGAAGGGTCATTCAACGAAGAAGACGACTATGAAGCCAATGGCGACCCACGCCCGGCGCACGGCGATCTGTATGCAAGTCTCATGTACTTGATGAATCCCAACCCGCAAGACCGGCCTCTGCGATTACTCTGGCACTCATCTTTCGCATGTCTCATGCTCATAACGCAAATTTTGATGATGATTCGTGACCTCACCCTTGCAAGCTCGTTCTTATACAACAATGTGCGGTGTGGTGAGTCCAAGAACAACTTGTCAATCATCTCAGAAGCTAGTCGGACCTCGATCATGCAAGCTCTGAACGCCTTGTCGGACATCATGCGCAAGCCATCATTTTCTAGAACATACCTCCTCAGCAGCTTTTTAGACGATTCCGAGTCTGTGGAGTCTAGCCTATGGAGCAATGTCTGGATCGTGTGGCATTATGCTGCAATGAATCTAACCCACCAAGAGGCACTACTCACGAGCGGCATCGTCGAGTATAGTCTTCCATCTGCTGTTTCAACTTGCTGGGAACTTGGTAAACCTCGAGTGAAACAGCATCGAGATGTGTACGAAGATAGAGATGGTATGTATATGAGTCCTTCTTCATATTGTCACTCATGCGAAGACTTCACATGAAACAAGACACCAGCTTACACTGTCTCAGTCATCCGTGTTGCTAGTAACCTGCAGAGCATTCTTGTGCTTCTTTCTCGCGACACTAGACCCATCGACATCAACTTTCAGTTACAACCTGAATTCACCCCCAAAATAATCGAAGATCCCTTCATCACAATGATCGGATACAAAGCCTGTCTGCTGGGCTGGCGCATAGTACGTCTAATGGCTGTTAGCCTACAGACCAGCACGGCCTCGTCCAACATCCAAACACAAAGCATCTACTCCATGTCTGCTCGAGTTGTTCTTACTGGCATACTAGCTGCCATAAGCCCCGAGTCTGCAAATCAGAGAGGTCAGTGGAACCCAACAGCGGCGGTAGATGATGCCGAGTCTAGATACTTAGCATGGATGGAGGCAACCTTTTTGGCAAGGAATGTGTGGCCACCAAGCAAATGGATCGTCGCTGTATTTAATGAAAGCAGACATGAGCCTGAGTAAGAGTGCGCAGTGTGTAGTCTATCTCAAAATATACAGACTCCTTTGAATCTTGCAGAGTTTCTCCGAATCTGCTCTCAAGTTCCGATAATGCTATGATCTCTGGAGGTATTAAGCTTTCCCAGGCTCAAAGGCCATCATAGTCAGGATAAGTACCACCAGGCTCGTCACGAATGATGTTAGATCCGAGTATGCTATCGAATATTCCATCTTTGTCGTTACGGACACGCATATAATACTCATGTACCACAGGATGCTTTCTCGCCCAGCTTTTGGTAAAGATCTTGGGGACAGTCAGTAACTTTTCGGATACTGTATTTAGGGAACTTGAGTTTCTTGTTAGACAGGTCCTCACATATTGGTAGCCTCTTGCGAGGCCAGAAACGACGAAGAGGTCGGCAAGCGTCAACGTATCTCCAACGAGATAATTCTTCCCTGTGATCTCCTTCTCGATGGCACGAATGGTCAACTCACAGGCCTCCTCACAAGTCTTGAGAATCTCAGGACTGCTAGGTGCCCGTCCGATGATGGGTCCTATCCATGCCATAATGGGTGGCAGGAGCTCATAGTTCGTGAATGATGCCCACCGAAGGACAGTTGTCTCCTCCTTCAATCCAGATCCACACAGCTTTGTGTTTGGATCCTGCTTTGCCACTGTTGTACCGTGAGTTTTACGGAGCCTATCGTTTCCAATAAGCTTGGCACTTACGGAACCATGCAACTGCGTTGCTTTCGTAGACAATAAAGCCATCGGCGGTCTCCAGCGCGGGGACTTTTCCAGTGTGGAACTTGGAGAGATATTCTTCACCGACGCCGCCCTTTTCCGGGTATACTTTGATCGGGAATGCGTTGCAAATTTCGACGTCGAGTTTATTATACTTGGCAACGAAGAGCACCATCGTAGATCGAGGCGCTTTGGGATACGTGTAGAGCTTGCCGAAAGACATCTTGCTGCTTGTGGTAGCTTGTCTGAATGAAGAATAAACGAACGTAGGGAGAAATTTTGCTGATCGAATCTGGACTGAACTTATAGCTGTACTTTACCGGGCCAGGAGGTCCTGTCCCCTACATAATGCATCCTGCATATTGTCGCTGATGATTATCGTCATAGGGAGGAGCTCCACCACAAAGGTGGAGGTCCCTCCCGCAACAAATGCTCCTCCTACATTCAAAGATTACCTTGACAACTCATTGTTCGAGCCGTCAGCTGGATCTACGCAAATATCTGCTTGCGCTGGTTCTGTCTCTGAAATTGCACGGTTCAGTCACATAGCGAGTATCCCATCGACTGTTAGAAGCACAGATGCAGCACATCCGCCTCCAGTCTTTCTCTAACTTCTTAGGTATTTAATCTCAACCTGTTCATAGCGAACAAAAGGAAAACAAAGTCGGACAAATGTGTCATTCATTACCATTACTTGCAAAAGTGTATAGTGTTGTATTGTCGATATCTGGCAGCGGATAAGAGAAAACCTAGATGATGAGAAATGCAATGCCAACCCTACAAAAAAAAAAAAAAGGAAAAAAGTACAGTGCTCACTCGAATAATGCCAGGGTAGTCTAGAGTCGGGATTCGAAATGAAGCGGTTGGAACAAAATGTCTTTCAAATTCGCGGCTTCTTCATTCATCCAAACTTCGTCAAATGGCTAAATAAGTCCACCAAAAGCATCAATCAAACAGGTTACACGAATGTCGAAATTCGTTAGTCCCCTGAGCACGCAAAACGTTCCCGAGATGCGGGAAAGACTTCCATGTCATGATGTGACCACTGATAGGCGCGGATGCGGCAGTCATCCGTAGGACCACTACTGTAGCATCAGTTGTCGCTGCAAAATGAATGCTGCCGGTTCGGAGCTGAAAATGCAACCTTGGCTTGCGAACCGAGAGGTAATGGTTGGAGCGTGTCTGCCATCCCACCGGCCGAGTCTGTGGGGTTTAGCTAGCCATGCAGTCGGCCGAATGCAAGATGAAAATCTGGGGTCATCGGCTGAACTGATGCCACCCTTTCGCATCATCCGCAGTCATGCAACTGCCGGAAGAAAAAATAATGAAGCACCGTAGCTGGAGCGCAATCTCCTTGGGCTGTAGATCGACAGTCAAGATCTTACGACCCAATGAGATACTTGAAACTGGATTTCATGATGTCCTCGTACCGAGTGAAAGAGATCCGAGATGGCCGAGAACCCATTTTGCGTTTGTGATGAAAATGATAAAACCGAACTGGCATCCCTTCAACTAATCGTTCATTTCAGTAGTCAAGGACACCCCAGCCTACAAAATCACACATTGAGCCTATCAACACGTCCACACGATGAGATCCTGGCTGCGCTCACTTGTCACGATAGCTGCTTTGGCAGCCCCTATCGTGGCAGAGACCTTCACCAACCCGGTCATATGGGAAGACCTCGCCGACAATGAGGTTCACCGTGTCGGAGACACCTACTACTTGACGGCATCCACCATGCACTACTCCCCCGGTGCGCCCATCCTACGCTCCAAAGACTTGGTCAACTGGGAGTACGTCAGCCACTCGGTTCCGGTTCTCGATTGGAACTCGCAATACGACTTGGCGGATGGCAAAAATGCCTATGTCAAAGGTATCTGGGCATCTTCTCTTCGACACCGGGCAAGCAACGGTCTCTGGTACTTTGTAGCCTGCGTAGAGTTCTCAAAGACCTACGTCTACACATCACCTGACCCTGCTGGGCCCTGGACCAAAGCCGGCACCATTGACACGTGCTACTACGATGTTGGCTTGTTGTTTGACGATGACGATACCCCGTACGTAGCCTATGGAAACACCGCGATTTCTGTTGCGCAACTCTCTGCCGACGGACTTTCGGAGACTCGACGAGAGACGGTATTCCAGACGCCCAGCGATATTGGTGCTCTGGAGGGTGCGCGGATGTACAAGCGAGACGGAAACTACTACATCTTCCTGACGAGACCGCCTGATGGACAATTCGTGCTCAAGTCATCCAGCCCGTGGGGTCCATACGAAGTCAAGGTTCTCGCGGACAGAATCGCACTTAGTTCGGTTCCGAATGCCGGGTCGCCGCACCAGGGCAGTCTCGTGGACACCCAGAACGGAGATTGGTACTACATGGGCTTCACGGACATCTATCCCGGCGGCCGCTCCCCCGTGCTGGCTCCCATCACTTGGGGAGATGATGGTTTCCCGTCGCTCGTGACCGTCAACGGTGCTTGGGGAGACTACGAGTACCCGCTTCCCCGGGCGGATGTGCCGAGCGCTCTACGCACCGATGAGTTTGCCGGCACATCCCTCCGCCCCGAGTGGGAATGGAATCACAATCCCGATGTCAGTGGCATCGAGGTCAACAACGGAGTCACACTCCGCACCGTCACGGTGACATCGGACCTGTACTCGGCTCGCAACACCCTGACCCACAGAATTCGAGGACCGATTGGAACCGGCACCGTCCACCTTAACGTTGCGAACATGGCCGACGGGGACCGCGTTGGACTCGCAGCGTTGCGCGATAAGTCCTCTTGGATCGGCATCGAACGTGAAGGGGATGTGTATTCCATCGTCACCGTTGGAGGTCTGACCATGAACACCGACTGGACCACGAACTCGACAGGGGCAGTTGTTGAGCGCAGGCCATTGGGAGACGCGAGAGACGTCTACCTCAGAATGGTGGCTGACATTCGTCCAGGCGGGCCTGGCAACACTGTCTTCAGCTACAGCGTCGACGGCCAGACTTTCGAGACTGTGGGCGCGTCATTCACGCTGTACAACAACTGGGAGTTCTTCATGGGCTATCGATATGGCATCTTCAACTACGCGACAAAAGCATTGGGTGGCTCTGTGACAGTTTCATCGTTTACCAATGCTTAGTTGGTGTTTAAGTCTCGAGCCTCTTGTTTAAATGGTGCCCAAACAGGAAGATGTATTGAAGTTTCTGAAACTGTAAATAGCCAAAGTCAGGGGATGGGAATAGGTAATGTGGGAGAAAGGAAAGAAACATTCAACATTGTATTTACTCTTATGCTTCCGATACGAATAATATCAATAATCCGCAGCAGCTGACGCCCCTCGGTTCGTCCACAATTTAAAGTCGCAATGCAAGGAATCGGAGAGAGCCAACAAACCGGGCAAAGCGCATCTCTTCCCCGCACTCGAAAGTCCGCAGGCTCCAACCTCCAACCCCGAGTTGGTGAGCCCCCAACCTCGCCGGGTAACCCGGACCTAAGCGGACCCAATAATGGAGCTTGATACGCGCCAAAGGGGACCAGAGACCCGGAGGGAGACCTGGGGTATTTGAACGCGATGCTTGATTTGGATCCAATGCCGAGGTTTGTTGGATCTTCATGAGGAACCCCTCATTGAATATGTGCCTAGCTCGCCTACCCAGATGTGCCATTTACGGTCACCTTCTCGCGCAGCAGGCTACATCCTGTCAATCTTAGCCCCGCGCGGCAGCTCTTCGAAGCCAGTGTCCTGGTCTACACGTGTACTATCTCACTACGGGCCGAACATGTGTGAAGTAGAGAGGGCTATCGATGGCTGTCTGTTGGCCATGGCACTCAGCTGATTCGTCATCGGAGAGCGGTCTGGGATGACCCCTGACGATCCGAACACCTCGATGTGCATTAGGTAGTTTTCTGGAGGCTAGCTTTCCCCCAGCCCACTGATGAGTCTCCGAGCCTGTTGCGACTAAGAAAGCACGGCAATGGGGAACTGTTTTGGCCAAGTGGGTTTCCCATCGACAGCTTTCCGCAGCTGCGGGAGCAGGTCTCAGTGCGGATATCATTCTAGTTTGCTTGGCCGAATGGGTCTCGGTGAGTATGCGACGTCATGCAAGTCTTGATAAATACCTCTCCGTTTCCCCCGAGCTTTTCTTTGGCGCTGACGTTGGACAACGGACCTTTGTTCTCCCCGGTCGTTCCGCATCCGCCTCTTGCTCTGCCCTTTTAAGCCTCTTCTTCGAGTCTTTCATCCCCGAATATCTCTCTTGATTCTTCCAGTACGATAGATCCGAGAGTTGACGCCACCCAAAATGAGAGTTAAGACTAGCACCGCCCTCACCGGCATTCTCGCCGCCACCGCCGCCACGGCGCAAAACGCAACGAGCACCTGCGCGACCGGCGTGTACATCATCGTGGCCCGCGGCAGCAACGAAGCTCCCGGATCCGGCAGAATCGGCAGCGTCGCCAATGGCACTTTCGCAGCCATTCCCGGGTCCCAGATCGCGCCGCTCGACTACCCGGCGACGTTTGACAACTACTCGACCTCCGTCGCAGCCGGCGCCATAGCTTTGAACGCCGCGTTGACCTCGTACAACGCACGGTGCCCGAACTCCAAGGTTGCGCTGTTGGGATACTCTCAGGTAAGCTTACGCCGTACTGAAGATTTCGATATCGCGCAGCCATCTGCATCAACGCCAGCCCACTTTCATGGGACGACGTGATCTCCCATTTTACCAGAGCGCCGGAAAGGAGGGTGGCAATTGGGCGAGAAAATTGGACGGCTGCTGGAAAATTTACTTTTGTTTTCTTCCGCTGACTTGCATGAAACTTTAGGGTGCGCAAGTGACAGGTGATACTCTGTGCGGCAGCGTCGACGAGGACGAGGGAGAGGCTCTCAACATTGAGTTCAATCAGACGGCGCCCGTTCCCGCATCCGTCGTCGACCAAAGTGGTTAGTAGCTGCCCACCCAGTCACTTTCCGTTGACACGATCGCGAAGCTTACACATCTTCAGTCATCGCCGTGATTCTCTTCGGAGACCCAACCCACAACGTCAGCGCAAGCTGGAACAAGGGCACGAGCAAGCGCAATGGAGTAAGTTCCACCTTGGCGAAACGTGGTGGCGGAATCAAGGCCCTACGTCTCATAGTGCAACATTGGAGTTGCTGACTCGTTCGTCTCTAGCTCTTCCCCCGTGAGAATGTGACCAAGTGCGAGGCATACGCGTCCAAGATCGAGTCGTACTGCGACACGGGAGATATCTACTGCGATCTCGGTAACAACACCGCCGTTCACGGTTCATACTTTGCCAACTACACCGACGATGCAGTTGAGTTCATCTGGGCACAGTACAACGCGTCCAAGTCATCCAACGGTTCGTCGCCGACTGCCACCCCCACCACGGTTCCGGGATCCGGAGCTGCCGACTCCGCTCCGGGCCTGCTGATGTCCCTGGCTGGTTTATCTATGCTGGCGGCTTTCATCTTGTAAGAGAAGAAGCTTGCATGTTTGGAAAAGCATGCTGGATGTAATCTCATTGGCTATGGTGGCGATTCACCGGCTTTGTAATTATTCAATAACGACTGCTATGATTTGAACATCCCTTCTTGGGCTCCCTAAGACTTTCATCCCACCGGTATCTACATCATCACAAAACTCCACACCCGAGGATAAACTCCATTCTTCACTCGGTCCGTTGGTGTCGGTCCGACGGCGCTGTAAGTTTCAAAACTCTGTGACCAGTATTCCTTTGTTAAGAGACTCAAGACGAACGAGACATAACCCACCGTGCGTCATCTATCGGCAGCAGGTCAGGACCGCACCCTGGAAATCACCCGGCAAGATGACCACCTCAAGATAATGAAGGATAGCCAAGGCAATACGACTATGTGCAGGCTAAAACTCTCGGTGTTAAATCAATTTCTCTGCTATAAACTGGATCATCTCCCAAGGAGTGAGAGGAGCGCGAATCGCGTATGCCAAGAAAAAACAGTGTCCCTCCTGTGTCCCTAGATCACGGTTGCTAAAACAGCGACTAGCCACGGGCAATTCGTTTGCTCCGTGGAAAACTTGAGAACCCTCCCATTTTGCGACTGTCCAGTGAGTGGTAATTTTAAAAAGGACAAATTGGCCTGTTTGGCGGGCGTTGTGCCGATGCTCTCCGGCAATGTGAGCTCACTGTCGAACCCCCAGCTTAACAACAACTTGGTGGTCTTGCAAAACTTGTGTCTCACCGTCTCTGGGGCATATGGGCTGAGATTACCCGCCTGGCGAAGCTGCTTCACATTCCACATGCCCCTTTCATCATCGAGAACCTTGGGTTTCCCGTAGAAGATAATCTTGCCTTGGAGCTGATCCATGAACGCTTGTTGATCCCCCTTCAGCTGAAGGGACTCCACCGCATCGAGCCCCTATTGCCCCAGCTCTGCCTAAGTCACCCCAGGCACGCCGTCAAATCCAATTGGGCACGAGTACGTCTTCGTTTTCTCCAGGGCCCAATCATTGCAGAAAGTTTTCCGTATGGATAGGACGGAAGAATATGGTCGACGGGCCAACCTTGATCCTCGGGACATTGTCAAAATATGCCCTTCGGACAAGTCCTCACTCAACGCGAAACAAGGCATATGAATGCTGTTGCCAGCGTCAACTTCAAAAAATCCCATGTGAGTGTTTGTGGGAAGTAAATTTAGTACTTACAGGCTCTTGAAGTCTATTCTGTTATCGGCTAACTTGAGAATAGAGATCTGTTGAGATATGGCTTCCATATCCCCTCCCTGCAGGCTTACATATCGCCGTTGTGCATCAAGCTCTTGTTGCCATGTCTTCTTGTAGTCTTCATCATCTTCAATAAAGTCTTGGAAGATGGGAGTTTTGAATTCGTCGTCGATCCGAGCCTCGTATCTTGCTAACGCATTGTTCCAAGCAGCGTTCTTAGCTTCAGTGACCTTTAGTAAAGATTGTCGCGCGACATCAATGTGAAAGCTATTGTCATCCTAGGTTCAATGTATCAGATTGACGAATCATGGCTGGAGGGTCGATAGTAAAGTAAACGACTTACTGAGACCAAGTTTCGCATAAATCTAGGAAGAGAAATACGTTAGTCGTGGTCATGGAGAAATTAACACCCTGGACTCACTTGTTCAGCTCAGTGAAGTAAGATCCTTGGTCAAGGGAAAACGTAGGGCAATTCAGGATTTGCAGAGCATCTGCTTTTTGGAAGACTTGAAAGTTGACTGCCTCCGCAGGTGCAAGATCGCCACCGGGAATGCCTGTCTGCGTTGGAGTAGCAAGAAACATGCTCTGTTCCTCGTCGGAAGATTTGTAGCGTTAGAGAAAAATGGTGCTAAAGTTTCAGTAAGTGCTTTCCAGAAAAGTGTCGGCGTTGAGTGAGGTTTGTAAAGGATAGGGATGGGCAGTCTCTTTGGTTGAGATGGTAAGAGCTCCCCAACTCCAATCTTCAAGTCTGGAATGGCAGCTTCAAAACAGCTAAATTGAAAAACCTCGACTGGTTGCTCAACGATGGGTGTGAGCAGGCCGACATCGGCAAGCTGTTGTAGGAAATCCACGGGGTTCTCTTGAGGGCCCGACATGTTGACCGGATGGATAGTAGTGGTGATCAATTGATGAAGTCCGGTATCCTCGAAAAAGCTTCAGTTAATTACATTAGTTACGATTTAGGGGCAGCTTTTATACTATACGGTCTCAAGCTTGTCTCCTGTGGTAATCACAGCGGTTTTATCTTCAGTTGCCCTTCCCTAATCAATTTTCCTACAAGATCATGTCATCGTCATCTTGCGATGAGATCAAAATCGATGTGATGAGTTGAGCGGCTTGGATTAATGTTCATCCTAGCTAGCCAGCCGCTTCAAGGCCTGGAGCAGGCTTGGCCGAAGCTGAACGTATGAGAACGGTGTATGGGAATAGAGCTGTACCAAGACAACTGGCTAACATACTCTCCACCGACATGATTCCGTGTTGACTTGCCGAAGATGCCATTCGATTACGGTGATTACCATCACTCGCCGGGGCCCTCTCTTTACACAACATCAACCTTGGAGTGTTCGACAGCTGCATCACATTCGTTTTCGGCCCACAGTCTTTGAGGCCAGCTAGCCACTCACTTCGTCTTCGAGTAGATCATCAGCTAAGAAGTGTGGTAAATTGCACAGTGTGCCAGAAGTGACCTCAACTAGCTCAATTGTCATCAGCTCAGCCTTTACTAGCGCAGTATTGCAACCCACCTTGTAGTCATAAGTCACTCATCACAGCTTCCTGCTTCTCAATATGCAATAATCAGATTCCCAAGGGCAGCCACATCACACGCTAAAGAAACCCAACGAGACATGACCATGTGCTGAAGAGAAAGCTAATGCATCGGCTCGGCTCCTCCCCACGGCCAAACGGGTCTGTTTCCAGGCAAGCAATTGAATTATCTGCTAACTTTGCGTGAGGCTGACAGCAGTCGATTACTTGGCTTTAGTGACGACTGCATATAATCATGAGCAGTGTAGTGCGCTTAACTTCCGGACATTTATTCTTCGATACTTAAGTAGTAAGATGAAGAACAGAGGGAGTATTAAATCAAGCAATGAACATCTGCCACCGAATGATGTGAATGCATCATATGATATAGCAGATTACGTCAAAAACCGGCTTCATGCCACCAATTAGTATTTACCAACAAACTTTGCCATCAGCGAACCATTGAACTAAACCCTCTTTCCCAAAGTGATTTCGCTGAATGCAGTTGAGTACTAATCACAAGTCTCGCAGTTGGAGCCTAATTGTACTTGAGTAGCCCAGGTAGGTTCGATCCTCCGCCCTTCGCCAGTACTTGAGGCGATTGACACGCAACGCATGTAACTATCACCTTTGAAATGAACTTTCAGGCAATTCCACATGTACCATAGTCTCACAAGAGTGTAGAGTCAATGTAAGAGCGACATAGTCATCAAGAGCCTTCATGATGTGATTTCAAAATCAGCCCACAGAGTCACATCACAGAAGCAGCCCCGCCAACAATCCACTGCAATCGTCCAAACTGACGGGCCATGTCTCGGAAGCGACGCAGGAGCTGAGCTCGGTATTAACACTAGAAATGAAATTGTCGATCTCTAAGGTCGGCAATGAAGTGATTGGGCACGCAGTGACTCGTCTGCTGGACCAGGAGCTCAGTGGATAACCGAGCTGTCACAAACTAGCCTCTGCTGGGTGAGAAGAGATGACCGCATCAGTCGAAGCTGAGTCCAGCGACTCCAGCCCTCTCTATTAAATCACTTCACTCGAGCCTCCACTCACATCACTGGTTTGTGTATAAGTACCGAGAAAGGTTCGTGCTCATTCCAAGATCGATCTTCCATCAACACACTTCAACATCTTTCTCTGACACTAATTCCACAATACCAATCCAACACTACTCACTGCTCATTATGTCTGCCGACGCTTCTGATAAGTCTTTTTGGTTGGCTTACTGCAAGGCTATTCAGCAAGCCATCGGACCCAACCCCGGGTCTGAAAGCGCTATTTTCTTTACTACCAAGGCGCAGAAAGGACCAGCCGCGTCTCCTCTTATTCCTCCCGAGTACACCAACTTCGGGATTTATAATCTTGCGGACAACCTCTTGTCTGCCAATAATCTGTTCTATGTACCATCGACCCAGAACTCGTACATCAGATCATTGAAAAAGTAAGCCTTCAGCGACCAAATTCGTTCTCTCACAATCATTGAAACAATTGATCCTTCAGTTATCTCGGCTATGTTGACCTTGTAAGATTTTCCCAACCACGCCTTCGTAACTTCTGCTAAACCAAGGACAGGGAGGCTCTGGGAGCCCTGCCGTGGTTACTCAAGTTGTTCTCACTCAGAAAGCCCTGGACGCTGCCCTGATGGAATGCAACACGGAGGTCACCAAAGCTTTTGCAGATTTTCAGCAACAGGAAGGATTCGGCATCACTGGAGGCCAGACCTTCATTCAATGGTATCCCACCCATGCGCAGGGATATGTGAACGCCCTTCAAGCCGCTGCTTCTGCTGCTTCCGAAAATAAGTCTGCCCTGAATGACATGAATGGCCCACTTGCGGCTCAGTACAACTTGGATAGCGACAGGCTCACTCAAGCCATGACTAGTCTTGCAGCGACTCCGGGGTATGTCACAATTTGTATGAAGAATCAGCAGGCCATGCTTAACAACTCTCTCCAGGATATCCATGGCCGCCACTAGCTCTACTCCGTCTTCTGCCCAAGACATTCTTAACGCTGTCAACTCAAATCAGGCTCTCCCAGCTCCCAAAGGAATCAGATACGTGCCTGAGTACAGCTCTGATGAGTACGTCACGGCTGTGAGTGATTGGATCCAAGATCCCAGTCGCGGCCGACCTGGCAAGAACTCTATTGAGATCAAGATGAGCGATGGAAAAAACACCAGCGAGAGTCAATTTGGCCAGGAAACCTTGAGCGGTAGCCTCAGCTTCTCCTATGCTCCCTGGGTGTCCTTTGGTGCCAACGCATCTTCTGATCACGAGGAAAAGCTTGATCAGAGCAGCTCCAACGAAAATGATATTCAGATCACGGTCACATACGATGAGATCAGGACCGTGGCTGTCAATCCTGGAAGTTGGTAAGTTTCACTGAGAGTAGAAAGGATACTTTCCCAGAGATCCTCTGAGAATTAATGAACGCCGTGGCTAGGAACATCGGAGACCCAAAGAGCAGCTACCCTAAGCTGAAGCCCAACGCCCCAGACACCGTTAAGGTTCTGGTTGCGCCGACTCAACTTGTTGTCGTTAAGAATCTTGGCTACAGAATCAAGTTCAGCAACACCCTCAAGTCAACTTTCGACAAGAAGGTTTCCGACACCAAGCAGGCTGGGGGCTACGTCCGCGTCTTTGGAATTCCGATCCAAGTTGGCGGCGACTTCAAGAAGACTACTAACAACACTTCGCACAATGCTACGTGGGATAGCACCTCCGGCGAGTTTATCGTCGCGCCTACTGATGAGGGTGCTTTTGCGTCCATCATTGCCATTCGTGGCGACAAGATCAAGACCATCTAATGCTGCATCCTGGTCTTGATTGAAGTTGTCGATGGCAAACATTATTGAATACCAGGAAACGACGTCAACTTCTTGTGCGATTTCATTGAGTTCTAGTTGGGGCATGATATTGGTCGAATTCAGGATCTTGTTGTATGCTGGGAATCAACAATCCCGTCCTCTCACTACTATCTACTAGGTACCTAGGTAATGAAACTCAACGCTAGTCACTCTTTCAAAATCATTCGTTCCAATGTTAGCTTTGAGATCACCGAAGCCATTGCCAGGCCGCCCGAATACCTCTTTGCCGCCCCGCGCGGCCCCGACTACACCGTCCGAAGGTGTAGCAGTGCGTGGCTTGAGACTTAGGCAAGAATGCCTCCAAAGAAATCAGGCGTCGATGGTTTAGTGGTAAAATTCTCCGTTGCCATCCAGCAGCGTCGGGGAGCCGGGGGTTCGATTCCCCCTCGACGCATCGACTTTTGCTCATGCTACTTGTACTACATTTTTTGTCTCGAGGGCGTGTTATTTGCATTTTCCTGCTTTCAATCATGTTTATTGCCAATGTGCGGGGCCTGGCGTTGACCCATTGCCATTTATGAATCATGCTGCGTAAAGAACCTTGAAAACCCAACCGAACTGTTCGGCCTCAAGAAGAGCCTCTTCCACCTTAATCCTCAACTCAGTGCTCACTCCTGACCCGCTAATCTCCCACTCGAGGTCCTCAGCACCTTCAACGCTGAGAAGACTGATGGTATCTCCTTCAACGACGGGGATTGGTGCCTTGATAGAGACCCAGCCGTCGACCACGTTCGGCTCTTCCAAAAAGACTGTGTAGAAAGCCTCATCCGTCTGGGTGAACCTCACATCCGGGCCACCAACAATCTCACTCTGCACAAACCAGTACGTAGTGTTGAAGATGGCCTCCTCATGGGCCTTGATCCACTTGCCCGCCTCACGCAGGTTATCCATCTCAGCCTGAACGATAGTACCATCTGCCTTGGGACCAATGTCCAACAAGAAGTTGCCGTTCTTGGACACCATGTCGACGAGAGAGTACACGATCGTAGTGGCATTCATGTACTCCTCGGGCTTCGTCGCGCGGTTGTATCCGTAGCTGTACGGGTCCATGCCGCGGTTGCTCTCCCACTTGCGTCGTTGCGCGGACGCAAAGGTCTGGTACTCAGGCGTGTCAAAGTCAGCCGCCTCCGGAATGCCGCAGCGGGAGTTGATGGCGACCTGACGGCCCTCGGCGCGGGCCTTATTCCACCACGTCGCCGCGAAGTCTTGCGTGCCGTTGGCGGCGCCGCAGTCGCACCACATGATGTCCGTGCCGTAGTCGTAGGCAAGGGTCTCCATTTGAGGCACCATAAGGTCGGTGATGAAGTCGTTGACGGGGACGCGGCCGGTGTAGGGCTCAAGCTCCCCAGTGTATGGGTTGGAGGCTAGCACGCCGGGCCAGGAGACAGCTGACGGCGTGGGGAACTGGACGAAGCCATAGGGACCAAAGTCTGGGTTGAACCACTCGGGGAGCGAGAAATAGGTACCCCGCTTCAAT